ATGATTTTATGATTATTTGCATATTTGTGTAACAAAATTTTACACCAATGATTTATAAATTACGTTATGATTATTTGAATTTAAGTATTTTCCATTTTACATATACACTTCCATAAATTAAAAGGAATGAAGTTATTATAGTTAATATATGCAAATCGTTATCAAATCGTATATTTTCCTTTTCTTCCATTACATGTGTACGATATATATAAATATAGAAACTATGTTACATGCGTTATATGCGTCTCTAATTATTTTTCCCTAGCAAATTTCAATTGAACCTAAAGCCGCCACGTCAGTTTAATTGATATGCTAATTGATTGACAACTAAGCAAGGTTACTTTTTAATTAATACAAACTTGAGGTTACATCTTTTCAAATGTTTCTCAATTAATATATAGGGGATAACCATATGGGTGAGAGGTCTATAATTATAGTTATACTTCCTATTTAGAGGAAGGGTGTTGTTGGGCCATAAATTCTGTGGTTAACATCACACATTACTCTTTTCCCTCAAATCACGTTCTTTATTTCACTTTTCAATGTATGTCTTGCTGTTACTGATATTAAATAATATTGTAAAAATTAATAATAGTGTTGTTAGCCTTGTCTGATTTTTAGAGGAGATAGACCTTCTTTGTTACAGCAGTGAGAAGAAACTATAGACGTATGGGTCACAAGAAAGATAAAAGAGTTTGTTATCAAGTGGACATAGCTGATAGCTCTACAGTGTGCTGAGACATAATCTCCCGGTATTTGCATGCTACTTCCGATAGTGTTCTTGATCATCTGGTCTACTTCAATGACAAATGTAATAGGATTGTTATTTGATGTGAAGAACTATTAAAACATGGCCCCTCTCTTAGTGTCGGTAGTGGGAGTGTTGGTTAGCAATCATGAGCTATAGGAATTGTAGTATTCATTGTTTTAAAGGTGTTTTTTTTTGCTTTCGAAAACTCGCCGCAATTCAGTCTTTTCATCTAGTTCTAGGGTGGTCCTAGCGTTGTTAAATTACTTTAATGCGAGAGCTGTTTTTGTTTTTTGTAGTTTGTGTTTTGGCTACTAATTATGTTATTAGATGTTTAGTAAAACAAAAAACTAAAATCATATAAACTTAACATTTCACCCTCAAAATTAGAAGATGGAGGTTAATACGTCACTGGATAGATGGATTTGAGAAACCATAGAAGGTGCAAAATATCAAAGTCATGATATAGACGAAATTAAAAAAAGGAAAAAAAGAATCAGTTTAAGCTTTTAGAAAATCGATCTAGTTGTCCACCTAATCAATATTAGTTTTCTCCCTTTCTATAAAGCATTTAATTACCACTTAACTAATTTTGTAAACATTGGTGGAATGCAGTACCGGTCCTGAGGGGAAGTAATAGAAACATGTGCTTCCGACCTCCTATATTTTCCGTTGTAAATTTTGCAAAATCTCTCGGAGCTCTGTTGGTATATAGTTTACATATATCCTAAAAAGTCAAAGATTCAATTTCTTCAAGCTACATTATTTGCCTTTATCTATTTTTAAGCTTCCGGTCCAAAATATTTCAGGTCGGGTCTGAAATGTATAGGGTTCTAATACTGTTGTAAACTGGTCTATATGTATCTACATTGAGGCACCAAACTAGTTTCAGTTTCAATTTGCTATAACATATATAATCTGATTCATGAAATAACCATATGGGTGAGATGTCTATAATTATAGCTATACTTCCTCTTTAGAGCAAGGGTGTTGTTGGGCCATAAATTCTGTAGTTTGGTCCATCACACGTTCCTCCTTTCCCCCAAATCACGCTCTTTGTTTCACGTTTCAATGTATATCTATCTTGCTGTTACGCTCTAGCCTCTAGGTGGGCTCGGTTTGAAATTACAAAACAAAGAACACCGACGAATTTCTCTGTGGGCGGTGCTCGAAAGTCGAACTCCGTGTTGACATACCAAAACATTGGGACCAGTCAATCTGATACATATGTCCAAAAATCTTTTCGGTTTGTAAAAGCTAAAGAAATGATAAAAGTATTTTTCTAAATTTTGATTCGCTTTGCAACAGCAAACAAAGGATCAAATAAAAACATTAGTATTATTTTGGCCGACAAAAAAAAAATACATTTAATATTATAAAGTTGTGACCCAACGAGACCAAAGCACATGCACCCACCACTAGCCATTTCTCTATATAAACCAATGTCACTTACTTCATTTTCCATCAACAATAAACATTTGATATCTACAAACTAAAAATGAAGTCTCCTTCTGGTACAAGGTTTGCGTTCTTGGTTCTCTTTCTTTTTGCTGTGCAATCAGTGTGTGTCTATGCTGGTACTGGTAGCTTCCACAAAGATGTGAAGATACATTGGGGTGATGGACGTGGAAAGATTCACGATAATGAAGGAAAGCTTCTTTCTCTTTCTCTTGACAAATCCTCTGGATCCGGTTTTCAATCCAATGATGAGTTTCTCTATGGCAAAGCCGAGGTTCAAATGAAGCTTGTCCCTGGTAACTCTGCTGGAACCGTCACAACTTTCTATGTAAGTTTCATATTGCTTCTAAGCATTTTTGTCATCTTTTGATTAGATAATGATTATTGAATGTGTTTGTGTTTTATGATGAATTTGTGTAGCTTAAATCACCGGGAACTACATGGGATGAGATTGACTTTGAGTTCTTGGGAAACATTAGTGGTCATCCGTATACTCTTCATACTAATGTTTACACAAAGGGTTCAGGAGACAAAGAACAACAGTTTCACTTATGGTTTGACCCAACCCGTGAATTTCACACTTACTGCATCACATGGAACCCCGAAAGGATTATGTAAGTACATTTTTTGACCCCTTATATTATGTTTCAAATTAATATAAAACATTAAAAACTCAACAAAAAACTAAAATAATATTCAAAAAAATTAGAAAAATGTTACAAACCGGTAGAACAATGTTTTATCATGTACATTATTATATAACCTCATATGCTTTGAGACGTTGATAACGTTCCCATTAGAGAGTTCATGAATCAAGATTTTTACTTATTTTTTTTTTTTTCAGTTTTACCGTTGATAACGTTCCCATTAGAGAGTTCAAGAACTCCGAGTCGATTGGGATCCCTTTCCCAAAGATCCAACCAATGAGACTCTACGCTAGTCTTTGGGAAGCTGAGCATTGGGCTACAAGGGGAGGATTAGAGAAGACAGATTGGTCAAAAGCTCCTTTTACTGCTTTCTACAGAAACTACAATGTGGAAGGATGTGTTTGGGCTAATGGAAAAGCACCTTGCGCGACTAACTCCCCATGGTACACGCAGAAACTCGATCAGAGAGGCATGAATAGAGTGAAATGGGCGCAGCGTAAGTACATGGTCTACAACTATTGCACTGACAAGAAGAGGTTTCCTAAAGGTGTTCCTACGGTGTGCACTTAAAGTATTGATTCTTTGATTCGTTAATAAGTTATTTGGCGTTGTCTTTGTAACTCAATGAGCTTTTATTTATTTATGTTTCATTCATATGTTGCTCATATGTGTGTATGTGGTGTATGAGTAAGATTTTTATGATAATAATGAATAATAACTTATATGAAACAAGAGTTCTCGTTACTAAAACTCAATTGGTTCCACTTGATTTGTGAAATTTATAAACTATTGAGGACTAAGAAATTCAATACTTTTTGGGAAACACATATCTATTACTATAAAGAAAAGTTTACTCCCTCTTGGGAGTGCCATGTCACTAATAGGGAAGCTGTTGTCCTAACACCTGTCCATCTCCAAAACGGTACGTTTATGTTTTATCATTTGTTTTGGGCTTTGATTTTGTCATGGCCCGTGTCAATTATCATAGTCCGGCCCGCCTCCGCACACCCTAATTTACTCAGAAAGATTAGGGCTTATGTCCTCTATCTTCGTTGCTGTCGACCGCCAACCTTGAGAAGCTTCAATGGCGTCGATTGATTTTCCTGACGTCAAAAGCATTGATCATTTTCATTTAATCCCTTCCCACAATCTCCACTTCGATATGTCGACATTTTCTCAGAACGATGTAGATCCCATGTATAAATAGGTTGGCTTTACTCCTGTAAAAATCATTCTCATAGCTCTTACACCACACAATCTTCTGAAATGGCTAATCCTAAAGTTTTTTTCTTTGATTTTAAGTCCAGCCGGTGTTCCTCCGTTTCTGGGAGGCGAGGAAGGTGAAGCGCGGCGGTGAGCTCATGTGGGTTGACTTGCTTCTGGTTGATGTTAATGTAAGGATTCCGTCTTATAGATCTGTGTATTTTTTGGTTTCAGATTCCATCCAAGTTTAATCCTTTCTTCATCGTTATATGTTTCAAGCATCGTTTTGGAATTTTGGAAGACAGATCGCAAAACGTCCACAGCCATGGCGAGAAAAGTTAATCATACGTTTTCTTATATCTTTTGTTTCATTGTTTTTTTTTGGTATACTACTTCCAATGTATTCATTTACTGGATTATCTTTGTTTTCCAGGGGTTTCCATCACTTGAGTTTAAGGTTGTTCAAAGTGTGAGCTCCAAAACAATGGATTTGACAGGTTCTTAGGTATCAATGCGTTGTCTGATTCTTTTCTGGTCTTTTTGTGTTTGTCATGCGTAAAGCTCGGATTTGTATATTAGAGCAGGAGATATTCCTGCTGAAGAAATAATTATTTGGTTAGAGGATTTGTTCAAGAGAGAGTATATGAAGCTGGTGTGATGTTATCTGAGGGAGAAGAAGACAGTGACGATGAGGATGATAATGATGTGTTATTGACATGGGATAAGAACGAGGAAGTTTGACATCAGCCGAAGGTATTCTATGATCCCTTGAAATCCCAATTAATAAATTTTTATTAATAAGACATCTCTCTGTTGCTTCTTACATATACATCAATAATGCTATGTGTTTTTTTCTTTACGTATTCTACATGCTTATGACTGATATTGCCGGTTTTCTGAAATTTTGGAAGAACAGTTGTTCTTAATAAGACATCTCTCTGTTGCTTCAACTTTTTAATCATCGTCTCAGCAGCTTGATCAAAGCCAAGAGTATTCGATGCTTCGGTCTCATTCTTGTGTTCTTCTTTGCCATCTTCAGCAAGCACAGAGATATCATATTAAAAAAGTGTAGTAAGATATATGCTCAGAATAATCTTACAAATCCTACGTGAATGATGCTTTCACTAAACAATACAGAAAGAACTTTGTTCTTTTGTTTAATTTGGTATGCGTCTTATTTTATTTGCAATGTGTTCAGAGACCAACAGTGTAATTGTCTTTTTGGTGTAAAACAGTGTAATTGTTTTTTTGGTTATATAGATGGTTTGGTTTATTTAAAAATTCCGTTCGAACAATCGGTTTCAATCAAAGACGATGTTTAGCAATTTTATTTTCATTAATTATGTAGCAAGTTGATCAAAACAATCCTTTTAACCTTTTCTGTGCAACAATTTGGCTAAAAATATTTGGTTCCTTTGGTCATCCTAATAAAATAACCTTGGTACCTATAAAAAGAAAAGTATAGCCGTAAATTTAGTTAGCCAAAATAGTTTATTATCGTTTAAAATAGAAAATGTAAAGAGCCGATTACTACGTTTCAAAGACGGATGCCACATAAATAAAAACCCAGTCATTCAAAATACATAACTAAATTTAAAAAGAGTTCTAAATATTAATAATTGTTTTATATGAAAACTTAAATAAATAAGATAAAAGTATGTAAGACATAAACAAAATTCAATTAATTTTAATTCAAATTACTTACCCTACACTAATTTCTAATATTGGAAATACAGTAAACAGTGAGTTTCTATCATTCCAAATTTGTTGGACAACATAATGAATAAATAAAAAACAATTCTAAGCTGACATTGTAATTATATATTAACCATCAACTATAATATAATATATCTATTTATAATATTATTACAGTTATGTTTAAATCCCGGGCGTAGCCCGGGCTAACCCTAGTAATTAAATAACAATAAGTACTATAGTCTTATAGATGGATGAGCCGGCGAAATTGTCTAAGATGTAACATGTGGTCCAATGTGATTTGATCTTTATGAAACCTGTTTTATTAACAAAACTTTAGTATGAGATTCTTTTCCGTAAAATGGAGTAGAAACAAAAACGATATAGCAAGAAATCATGTGCCTCCTTAAGTCTTAGCGTGTGAGATAGGTGATGTTTTTATAAACCCAACGTCAAAATCGGGTCATGGACTTTTGTATTTTTATATTGGCCAGGCTACGATGCTGTACATGATTATTGTGAGGATTAGGAAAGGACCAAGATCTTCAAAATGGATCACAGTTGGTTTATTAATCTCATGAATTAGTTAATTGTTTGGTATGGTAGTCCAAGTTCCTAGGGACTACTTTGTCAAACTAAATCTTAAATTAATATACTAACTTACACGTCTTACCAAGCTTATGTTAATCAAATTAGATTACACGTCACGTTACCAAATCGTCGAATGTCCTTTTATTTACCCAAACATTTTTTTTTGTTATTTAGTTTGGCTAGTGGACAGTGAAATATCCTATCATCTAGATTAAAATATGTTATCATGCAACGGTTTAGTTGTGGAATATAGTAGTCATATACCATGATTTTTCGTAATCACGATGAAGTTGTAATGTGAACAGGACAAATAACTGAAAGTAGTGGAAAGAATATAAAAGTAGATAGTATTAAAATGCAGATATTTATACATTTGAACCCTCTATGCGGCGGGGAAGGTTTGCACTCATGTCAAAAATCGAAGCCGTGTTGACAAAATGACCCCATTGCTTTCAAGACGCGGCGGGACCAGCATACTGATATACAAATTGTCCATATACATTTATTTTCTCTGTTTTGTAACAATAAACGAGTCATGAAACTATATTCTATTGGATTCTTTTGTAACAACCAACAAGCTGGTCGAATGAGCCAACTAGAACACAGCACATACACGATCATTAATCAAACCTATGAAACTTCCCTCTCTTTTTCCCTTCCCATTTTCTAGCAGCTATATAAACTCATGTCACTTAAACTCCATTTGCATCAACAAATACAACTAAAACATCAATACTTGAGAAATCTATTAATTAGAAAATGAAGCTTTCTTGTGGTACAAGATTCACGTTCTTGGTTCTCTTTCTATTTGCAGCACAATCAGTGGCTGTCTATGCTGGTAGCTTCCATAAAGACGTTCAGATACATTGGGGTGATGGCCGAGGAAAGGTTCGGGACAGAGATGGAAAGCTTCTTTCTCTCTCACTTGACAAATCCTCTGGTTCGGGTTTTCAGTCCCATCAAGAGTTTCTTTACGGTAGAGCCGAAGTTCAAATGAAACTTGTCCCTGGTAACTCTGCTGGAACGGTCACAACGTTTTATGTAAGTAGCATAACATCTTTGGTTAATTTTTTCCTATTTGCTAGTTGACAAATAATTAATGTGTATATGATGACTTTGTGTAGCTTAAATCGCCTGGAACTACATGGGATGAGATTGATTTTGAGTTCTTGGGAAACATTAGTGGTCATCCATATACTCTCCATACTAATGTTTACACACGAGGCTCAGGAGACAAAGAACAACAGTTTCATCTATGGTTCGACCCAACAAAGAACTTTCACACTTACTGCATCACATGGAATCCCCAAAGAATTATGTAAGTACATCATATATTAATCTTATAAATTTTAGTATATATATATATATATATATATATATATATAAACTTATACTTTTGTAAATGTTCCGACCGTTAACTTCCAGTTCAGACCAGTGATTACTTTTATGATTCCTAATAGGTATCTTTTGTTGTCCCTTTTCAGCTTTACAGTTGATGGCATTCCTATTAGAGAGTTTAAGAACTCCGAGTCAATGGGAGTTCCATTCCCAAAGAACCAACCAATGAGGCTCTACGCGAGTCTTTGGGAAGCCGAGCATTGGGCCACAAGGGGAGGATTGGAGAAAACAGATTGGTCCAAAGCTCCTTTCACTGCTTTTTACAGAAACTACAATGNCCTATTAGAGAGTTTAAGAACTCCGAGTCAATGGGAGTTCCATTCCCAAAGAACCAACCAATGAGGCTCTACGCGAGTCTTTGGGAAGCCGAGCATTGGGCCACAAGGGGAGGATTGGAGAAAACAGATTGGTCCAAAGCTCCTTTCACTGCTTTTTACAGAAACTACAATGTGGAAGGATGTGTTTGGGCTAATGGAAGATCATTTTGCCCCGCGAATGCTCCATGGTTCACTCAAGTAGTTGACCCGGAAGGCCAGAAAAAAATGAAATGGGCACAGAGTAAGTACATGGTCTACAATTATTGCACTGATAAAAGAAGGTTTCCTCAAGGTGTTCCTAAAGTGTGCACTTAAATTGTTGATTCTTTAAATAAGTTACGGGGTATTGTCTTTGTAACTCGAATGAGTTTTATCTATTATTTTCATTCATTTGTTGCTCATATCATGTGTCCGTGGTGTTTGTGTAGATTTTTTTAAGTAATAACAAATAATAAATTATGGAAACAAGAGTTTTGATTACTAAAACTTGATGAAAAATTAGTTGATTTCAGTAGAGTTGTAAAGTTCTTAAACATTGAGAGAGGTTCATTAACTACTTATGTTACAAATTTACAATGAAGCAAAGATATATTTGGTTAGGCTAATGTGTTTTGTAACAAATGTATATGAATAATTTGTTTGGTTCTAAATAATTGTGAGATGAAACGGCAACTCTCTTCCTCTCTCTTATAATTTTGCATGCATCACTCATCAGTCTCATCTTCTGTGACACTTGAACAATAAAAAAATTTCCAAAGTATATTATGTTACATTATTGCGAGATTTCAAAAACTACAAAATAGCACTAACTTTGGAATATTAAACTTACCTACTGTATAATGTACAACAATCTTTTGAAACGATCTTTCGTTTAACATGCAGTGGTGGACCTGGTGGTGACTGGTGATAGACGTTCTTAGTATCCGCAAAATGGAGTAGAAACAAAAAAACCATATAGCAAGAAATCATGTGCCTTTTAACGTTAAAAACGGGCCACGAGCTTTCGTATTTTTATATTGGCCAGGCTACATTGATGTACATGATTATTTTAGGAAAGGACCAAGATCTTCAAAATGGATCACCAATGGTTTATTAATCTGATGATTTAGTTAATTATTTCGTTTGGCTAGTGGTGCATTAAGAGAGTAAAATATCATATCATCTAAGATTAAAATAGATTATTATGCAACGTTTAGTTGTGGAATATACCATGTTCTTTCGTAATCATGATGAAGTTATATAATTTGAACAGGAAAAATAATTGAAATCCTTGTTATAAAAATCGGTTGACTACTCGTTTAGAAGCTAGGCGGCTTTTTCCACTTTGATTTATACCAAACTAGATGTTTTGCCCGCCATGCAGGCTTAAGCCTTTTATAATTATTTGTTAGTAAATATAATAATAATAAAAATTAGAAGCATAAATTATTATTTGTCTTTTTATTTTGAAATTTTTTATTTATCCTAAAACTTATTCAATATTATCTTTTCATTTATATAAAATTAAGAATTTTAACTAATTAATATGTAATTATTTGTTTTCTACTTTTGAATTTTTAAATATTTTATCAAAAGATAGTTTTCGGATAACAATACAATATATATAGGAATTATCTTTTAAAAATAAAATATATTTTTAGATTTTGGATAATTCTTATTGTTATTATTTAAAATAACTTATCTAATTAAATAAATTTAAATTCGTTTTTATATTTAATTAATTCATATAATTTATTCATTAAGGGTATAAACGATATTAATCGCTCTAACTTTTAACGTGGGAGTTCTGTTGCGAAAAATAACTTCGCAAATAATAGTATAGATTAGTGTAAAATTGGATGTTTGATTTTAGTCCGTATAGATGACCGTCTAATCTTTTTTTTTAATAATATTTTATCTATTTATTTGATCTAAAATTAAATATAACTTATATTTTTAATTTTGATTAAAATTATTAATATTATACACAACTAAATATAAACATAATATATTATATAATCTAAAAATTATGCTTTATATTATCTTCGTTTAATCCTCGATTTTTTTTAGGTGTTAGGTGCAATTATACCGTCCAATTAGCATTTAGCATTTAGCATGTGTTCCGGAATGCGATTGAAAATAGTGGAAAGAATATAAAAATAGATTAAAATGCAGATATTTAAATATTGTACCCTCTGTGCGGCGGGAGGGTTTACGCTCATGCTCATGTCAAAAATCGAAGCCGTGTTGACAAAATGACCCCATTGCTTTCAAGACGCGGCTGGACAAGCATCTGATATACAAATTGTCCATATACATTATTTTCTCTGTTTTGTAACAATAAACGAGTCATGAAAATTATAATCTATTGGATTCTTTTGTAACAACCAACAAGCTGGTCGAATGAGCCAACTAGAATACAGCACATACACGATCAATAATCAAACCTATGAAACTTCCGTCTCTTTTTCCTTTCCCATTTTCTCGCAGCTATATAAAAACTCATGTCACTTAAACTCAATTTCCATCAACAAATACAACTAAAACATCAATATTTCCTCGAGAAATCTATTAGAAAATGAAGCTTTCTTGTGGTACAAGATTCACGTTCTTGGTTCTCTTTCTATTTGCAGCACAATCTGTGGCTGTCTATGCTGGTAGCTTCCATAAAGACGTTCAGATACATTGGGGTGATGGCCGAGGAAAGGTTCGCGACAGAGATGGAAAGCTTCTTTCTCTCTCACTTGACAAATCCTCTGGTTCGGGTTTTCAGTCCCATCAAGAGTTTCTTTACGGTAGAGCCGAAGTTCAAATGAAACTTGTCCCTGGTAACTCTGCTGGAACGGTCACAACATTTTATGTAAGTAACATAAAATTTCTAAGCATCTTTGGTTAATGTTTTCCTATTTGCTAGTTGACAAATAGTTGATGTATATATATTTGTGTGTTTACGATGACTTTGTGTAGCTTAAATCGCCGGGTACTACATGGGATGAGATTGATTTTGAGTTCTTGGGAAACATAAGTGGTCATCCGTATACTCTCCATACTAATGTTTACACACGAGGCTCAGGAGACAAAGAACAACAGTTTCATCTATGGTTCGACCCAACAAAGAACTTTCACACTTACTGCATCACATGGAATCCCCAAAGGATTATGTAAGTACATCATACATTAATCTTATATGTTTTAGGATATATATATATGAACTTATACTTTTGTTAGCCCTTTTAAAAAAAATGGTATACTTGTGTTAATGTTCCAAGGACCAATTGAGACCAATGGACAATTGGTAGATTGTAATGTCTTATTACATTTTTCATGTATGATTCCTAATTACTATATGTTATTGTCTCTTTTCAGCTTTACAGTTGATGGCATTCCTATTAGAGAGTTTAAGAACTCCGAGTCAATGGGAGTTCCATTCCCAAAGAACCAACCAATGAGGCTCTACGCGAGTCTTTGGGAAGCCGAGCATTGGGCCACAAGGGGAGGATTGGAGAAAACAGATTGGTCCAAAGCTCCTTTCACTGCTTTTTACAGAAACTACAATGNCCTATTAGAGAGTTTAAGAACTCCGAGTCAATGGGAGTTCCATTCCCAAAGAACCAACCAATGAGGCTCTACGCGAGTCTTTGGGAAGCCGAGCATTGGGCCACAAGGGGAGGATTGGAGAAAACAGATTGGTCCAAAGCTCCTTTCACTGCTTTTTACAGAAACTACAATGTGGAAGGATGTGTTTGGGCTAATGGAAAATCATTTTGCCCCGCCAATGCTCCATGGTTCACTCAAAAAGTTGATCCGGAAGGGCAGAAAAAAATGAAATGGGCACAGAGTAAGTACATGGTCTACAATTATTGCACTGATAAAAGAAGGTTTCCTCAAGGTGTTCCTAAAGTGTGCACTTAAATTATTGATTCTTGAAATAAGTTCCTTGGCATTGTCTTTGTAACTCGAATGAGTTTTATCTATTATTTTCATTCATTTGTTGCTCATATCATGTGTACGTGGTGTTTGTGTAAGATTTTTTAAGTAATAACAAATAATAAATTATGGATACATTAACTAGTTATGTTACAATTAGCAAAGATATATTACATATGAGACTAGTTAAGAGGATACAACCTCTAACAAAATCAAGTGACAACAATTTAGAACATGAGACTGCTGAAGGGCTTTAGGAGTTCATGAAGTTCCCAAAACTGATGTGGGCTAGCTATCTTAGCAAACTGGACCTATGGACTGGTACGATCTTATTTCTTATGCAACATCTATATGGAAATGTACACAATCATTTAAAATGAAATAAGATGTACAACTGACTTTTAACACACATACATGATCTTATCTACAAAAGAGGTGAGTAAATTATGTAGAAATAAAGGTACCATCTCTTGCGAGACTTAAGAAGATATCATATAGACACCAACGCATCCGTATTGCAGTATTGGCTAGATGATGAGGACGAATGGATTAGTTGCTACTTGTTAACCTACACAGTCCTAAGCCCATATTTGGCATCACTTGATCTTGTTGCTATACAGTTCATGGATAAGATAATTAAAAGGTTTGGAGTGAAGTTAATGGGTTGATGCGTTGTGTGTGTTTGATCTAGCCGTAGACTGTGTCATTTGAATGGAGGAAACATGCGTTGGAAATCACACTACACACCCCCTGACGGTTGAACTAGAGTGATTTGTACCGTTCTATCTTGACATATTTTAGTTAATAAACATCTTCTTAGCGGGGATTATAACATCTCAAAAGAAGTATATTCACTCAAGTGATTAAATGTATATTTCTGCGATTTTCGTCACCGGAATTCAACTCCACTAAGTGGTGGTTGGCTATGGGTCGGATCTTGTTGATCCAACTAATGGCAAAAACAAATCTCTCAAACTATGAACATTAATTAGTTGATATGATATTTTCCCAACGATTTACTGTTCTTTTCTTTTATATGATTAGTTCCATGAGTTTAAATATAGATTTTTTCATGCAATTCAAGTATTGTAGTAATTAAGTTACTACAGTTGGTTTCTGGTAGATAAGTAATAAATAATATGTACATATATATTAATAAGTTTGAACTTGTTGATGATTATCAAGTGAAATTGTTATAAGAACAAATCGATAATAAAAAATATTGATATCATAATATTGAGGATAGAGTTTAGAAAAGTGATCATAGTAACATTATTAGTATATCATTATTGGCCTTGGCCATAACCAGGTATGAAAATGACTTTTAGAGACCTACGGGACAAACCAAATTAATTGATGACGATTACTAATTACGCTTATCTATGGAGATCATCTGGTTAATGAAAATGACATTCAGCCAACTGTTTTAGGAAGAAAACATACGAAGATATTTGGTTAGGCTAATGTGTTCTGTAACAAATGTATCTGAATAATTTGTTTGGTTCTAAATAATTGTGCGGTTGTGAGGTGAGACGGCAACTCTCTTTCTCTCTCTCTCTTATAATTTTGCATGCATTGACGAATCCATCGTCATCACTCATCAGTCTCATCTTCTGTGACACTTGAACAATAAAGACATTTCCAAAGTATATTATGTTACATTATTGCGAGATTTCAAAAACTACAAGATAATAGTAACTCTGAAATATTAAACTTACCTAGTGTATAATGTTCAACAACGTTTTGAAAAGATCCAATCGTTTA